TGGGTTGTTGAGAGAGATAAATATTACCTTCCCGGCGCCTCTTCCACAGACGTCCACTCATAAGGTTAGAGGGGGCCGAGGCACGATGACCTTCCCCCTCACAACGACCTTGTGAGGTGACGTTGACGAATGTACCGGTTTCGGTACAGGCGCCCTTCCAGTTGCTCGTAAGCTGCAGCCCACAGCAAAACAAGGCAAGGACCACCATTGCCTTCGCCATCACTCAAGGTGGACCTGGAAAAACAACCGTCTCCCACGCACCCCATAGGATACATTTAATGCATCAAAAAATCGTTTACCTCAATTTGCATTTCTGCTATGAACTGAACTTACTGCCATGTGGTTACATGAAACTTTTCATCACCAATATACTCTACTTACACCATCTGGGCTCCACAGGGTCCAAGCTTGCCAAAGGGAAGGTGGTTGGAGAAGACGAGTAGTAGCTTGATACCTTAAACAACAAGAACCTGATTAATTATTTAAATACTTAAAGTATTTGTCTTTTTGTTAATTACAAAATTAATGATGATTTATGGACAGAAATAATGAATAATATTGATTGCAAAGCAGTTGAGACTGTACCGCATTGACTCGGCTGCCGACTTGGCGGAGTGGGAGACTCTTGAAGAGTGTGTTCTTGCAGATTGCGAGGATCAGACATCAACAGCATCCACAATCCCGGTCTTGCAATGGAGCGCAGATACGTCGCCTACAATAAGAACAAACTGGGGGAAAACAGAAGGAATTTCTTTAGATTGAAAATCAGCAATCACTCGTCAGAGCAGATATTTTGTCTATAAACTGTGAAATACATTACCTTCTCATCAGGAGACTCAGCTGGGATGACCAGTTTGTGTTGGCGCCCGTGACTGAAACTGGCCATGTCCTCACATGATGGCTGTACCGGTGCCACTGCCTATTTATAAAACACAGAAACAAAGACCAAAATCAAACTTAATTAACCACTGACATTAATTATGGCACATACACACCTTACACATATAGGCAAAATAGTTGAATGAATAAAACATGTCACTACTTATGAGGAACAAAGTCAAGATTAGGCCACTGCGGTGCCACAGAAGGACTTGCCACATGGCATCTAAAAGTATGCAAGAATAAATGATAATGACATTTAATCACACTCACAAGACACTTTAAGGCTACAATGATCACATAATTACATTTTAAATAATCACCTAAATGTACTTTAAATATGTTCAATTTTACTACTGTAGGAGTTTAGTCATTTGAACTACTGTAAAACTTCCAATAAAAGCAGGGTCTCTAATATGCGCAGGTCTACTTTAAAAGGCTGATGTGGCTCCACGCAGGTCTGCAATAGAGGCCCAGTCTGGATTTTATAGATATGATCCGGATGTATTAAAACGCACAGAGTCAGAGCTTCAGTGGGTTTTAGACCATAGACATAATATACGTTTTAAACCGTTTAGTACACAGAGAATAACAGTACGACCTAAAATGTACCGTAAATTACCTATTAGCTGTGAAATCTGCTGAAGGAAACTCAAGAGAAGCAGTACAGTTAGAGAGTATTTCCATATGTGCTCAGCAAGAGTTTGTGCTAAAAGAATTAAACGCAGGTCTCCAATATAGGCAGGTTTTAAGCAAATACACGCCGGAGAATTATTAGAGAAGAGAAGTTTGACTGTTAGTGCTTTCTTCAGCAATGCGTCATATTATTTAACATAATCATATATTCTTATCAATAATACAGATTGTAATATTCAAATTAAACTCACCGTAGAAGGCAAATCCTCTGCTTCCAAAAGTGAATGAAAGTGCGTTGACCAATCAGAGGAGGAAAGAGGGGGGTGTGGATCATTACGACGAACAGTAACGTGAAAATTGAACATTAATTATCTGAGAAAAATGTTTAGGATTACTAATACAATGTTTTATTTTTTTCAGAAATTAATGTATATGTGTCTGATAATTTATTTTAGCTAAAATAAACGATATAGCCTAACCCCTCAACCCAAACATTAAATGGTTCGGTCCTACCAATCTGCAACCAGGTAATTTCTCATTAAAAACAACCAGAAATAGAATTTCAAAATAAATGTCGTTTTGTCTGCTTTAATTATAAATGTGATGGATTTTTAAGTAATTTAGTACCATAAACACAAAAGCAGTAATGACAATA